AGGGAACATGGTGGAGGTGGAAAGAGGGGGGAGTGGGCGAGACTAGAGGAATTGGAGGCGAAAAAAGGGTGGCAGGTAAAGAGAAGGAGGGAGAAGAGAAAGAAGATGAGGGAAAGAAGAGGAGGTAGAGGCAGAAGGACAAAAAGTAGAAACGAAGAGTGAGAGAGGGCCAAGAACACTGGAACAGTGGTAGCGATGGTGAAAGTGGGAACAGTAGTGATAGAATAGAGAAATAATGACATAGTTTCGGGTATGAGAAATTAGAGTTTGGATGAAGAAAAATAGATAAAATTAGTGAATTAAGTGAAATATTGGGCTATTATTAAGTGAATTGACATATTTGCCTTTAAATATCGACAAGATGTTATTTTCATGACTTATTTCGACCAAAATTTGATTAAAAATGTGACTATAAATAAAACAAGAACGTTTTTTTATTTAATAAGAACCAAAATCACTCAATTTTTTTTTTGAAAGACTAAAATTTATCATCGATCATTGATATGTGAGGAAGGATTTGTGCAAAATTTTCATACATTTTCTAATATGTTTGGCTTTACCAGTTTTTTTAAATCCAAGAAAGAAAGTAATCTTATAGTAAAGCTGTGGTCCGGTATTCTTCCTTTTACAGTTTTTGTTTGCTTGAATATTCCTTTATGGAGTGGTTGAATCATTGTTGCTTGCCTTTTACTCCCTCAAGTCATCATAACCGACTTAAACATCCATGCATATAATAAAATGGAAAAAAAGATTAATAAAAGAAAAGGCACAACCACTCCAGCTTTGCTCGGGCACCACAAATATATACTACATATATTCCATGAAAAGTGAGAAAAGCTACTTATTTGCTCATTCTCAAGAGGCTCAACATCCCAAACCCAAAAAATCACAGCCATGAATGCTCCCACGGGAGTGTGCAAAAGGCAAGACAGATCTAAAACTGATGACAACCATCAGACACACGATGAAGATCAGATGGCGCTGATTCCAGGCCTACCAAACCACCTTGCACATCTTTGCCTCTCAGCCCTTTGCCCTTCCCTCCTCAATTCAGTTTGCCAATCTTGGCGCCGGTTCATATATTCCCCAAGCTTCCCTCCATTCTTCTCCCTCTATGCCCTTCTTTCCTCAACTTCATCAACCTCGAACTCGGTTGAATTCTTCTGCTTCGACCCCATTTCATTAGCATGGGAATCTCTCCCCAGCCCACCGTCCAATCCACCCCTGAAGCTCCTCCACCGCCATTCATCTTTCATATCAAGAATCCTCCCGATTCAGTCCCTAACTGTTTCTGGTCGGTTAGTTCTCATTGCCGCGACTAATGACAAGTTCCTTCCTGCCTTCCATCGTCCGTTAGGCTTCGACCCTCTATCGAACAAGTGGTTTTTCGGCCCTCCACTTCTCACCCCGCGCAGATGGTGCATCACTGGCTCAGCTGATGGAGCAATCTACGTCGTAAGCGGCGTCGGATCGAACTACAGAGGGGATGTAGCAAGGTCTGTGGAGAAATGGGATATGAAGAAAAAGGAAACTGAATGGAATTGGCAACAAATGGCAGCACTGAAAGATGGGAGATACAGTAGAGAAGCTGTTGAAGCTGTCGGATACAATGGGAAGCTATGCATTGTTAACGTTAAAGGGAATGCTATTAAAGAAGCTGCTGCTTACAATATCATGACGAATCAGTGGGAGGTGATGCCTGAGGGGATGCGTGGAGGATGGAATGGACCAACTGCGACGGACGATGGAGGACTAATGTATGTGGTGGACGAGACAACCGGGGTTTTAAGCAGGTATACATCTGAGAGTGATCACTGGGAGGAGTTGATTGAATCGGAGTTTTTGAAAGGTGCTGATCAAATAGCTGCTGGAAGAGGAAGAGTTTGCGCAGTTTGCGCTGATGGTGCACGTATTGCTGTGGTGGATGTGGTGGATAAACCAGCAAGAATTTGGATAGTGAATCCCCCACCTAAGATGGAAGCTGTTGCTGTTCATATATTGCCAAGGATGATCCGACCAGATTATGATTAGACTAATGTTGAAAAACTGGGCATTGATTAATCTGATTAGTAATTATGAAAGAAGATGAACAAGAAACAACATATATATATATACGACCAAAAAGAAAAAGAAAAAGAAAAAGAAAAAGAGTGTGTTTCGAGCTCATAATGTTTATCTAGTGCCCTTAACTGGTCGTAAAGGTTGTACCTCATGATCTTTCCCCTACAGAATTAGTGTGTTGTAATTCTGGGGAATTTTATAATGTATTACGTTAAATTTTACATAAATATGTATGTCATTTGTTTATTAATATTTCTTCAATCTTGTGGTTTAGAAGGAACATCCAAATTAATCTGATGGACTAATTAACTTGAAGAGTAGCAATGCCCTCGCCACGGTGTTGGAGGTAATTATAGTAGTGTATTCTGCTGTCTGAAATCCTGTACTAGAACTGTATGAAGAGCTTCAGGGAAAAATTTGTTTAATTTTCGGTTATCCTCATGACAAAAAGTTAGAAGAGTCATGACTCAGATATTTTGTAATATCCTTCCATTTTTTTTGGAAAAAAATCAGGGAAATTTACCTTGGTTTTTAATCATCTTCATTGCCTACAGCAAAAGAAAAAAAAAACCCTTTTTTTCCGAGGTCAGAAAATCATCATCCTTCTTCAAAAAAAAAAGTTTGGAAAGATGAACTTGACCATCTTTTATGGACCCTTGCATCGGAAGGAATATCTCTCTTTTGGACATGTATGCGTATCTTCAAACAGTATCATGTTCCTCAGTAGACATTCATTGGGTATATGGCATGATCATCATACTTCTGTTTCATGAGCAAGTGGGGGCAAAAGGTTTATGAAATAATTGATCAATTCAAGAAACATTTTCAATAAAGTAATCTTAGCTTGATTATGTGAATATCTCTGCAATAATAATAAAACCTCTGTAAATGTTAACTTTATCTGCGTTCAAATTTACCCTTATCTCTATTATTAATTAGCCGTTGTCTCTGTTATCAATTGATACAAATCTTACTCAACCAAAATCACCTCCTTTCAATTCTCGCATTCTCCCTTAGTAACGATTTTTTTTTTACTTCCAATTATACATATATCTGCATAAAACACTTTTTATTACATATTACATAAAATAGTTATATCCACTTGCACTGTTTTTGTGATTCTTTCAATTAAAAATATTTTTTGACAAGTTACACACGCATCATCAAACGTGCTTGGATAGCTAGTTATGATAAATCCAGCCTGATAGTTAGCTCAAGCAAGCAACTTTGTTTGCGTCCCTGCCAACCTTTAAGCTGCTGGATTAATGCCAAGCATCAACCCATCTCTTTCTGAAATCACAACATATTGTCTTCACAAATATGGTAATGTAACGTTCTAAAATCGAAACAAAAGGAGCAAACTGTTCATACGAAGTTGCCCTCCATTTTCTGATCAACTCACCCACGTAAAATTATGTAAAGAAATTTGTCCTGCAAGAAAAGAAACACGAAAGAAAAGACCAACAAATCTTGAAACTTCTTGAAGAATAACAAAAGTCAATTTGATGCTTGGACGGACTTTTGTTGATCTTCCAAAACGTAGATAACACGTTAGACCGCATGAAAGGAATTGTAAAGATGCCAAGATGAAAACTTTTTTTTGTTGGGATGCGACAAGAAGAAGTGGTTAATAAAAAGCCAAGCTCAAATGCCTGAAACCTGAACCACTCCAACTCTAGCTTTTGACTCTTTTTCGCAATCCACCATTTATTTTATTCCCCTTCCTTGCTACTCCTACGTTCCTTCTCATATCAAAATTCATACTATAAATTGTCGGACCAAATCTTGGTTGATTTAAGACCCAAATAATTTATAAAGAAATACTTTTGATACAAGTATTTTTAAATTATCAAAAATTCGACTCATTAAATCACAAAAAATTAGCTATCAAACATCTTTAAAGTACTTTTAGTACTTAAAAGCGCTTTTTTTTTTTTTTTTTTTTTTTAAATTCATAGCAATGCTAACCGGGTCTTTAGAACCTCTTTGTCATTCTCAGTAGGCGTGATTTTGAGATGGAAGTAAGTAGAATTGAGAAAAAGAAACTAAATATTTTTTTCTATAAGGTTTTTTTTTTAAAGATTAAAAGAAATCATGTTAGCCAAAAGCAAAAAAACAAGAATTGTACTTCAATCTTTATATGACGGTCCTTCATTTTTAGTGGGTTTGCAACTATGTCCATCATCAAAAGTTCTTTTTATTTAACCTACTTAGAATTCTATTTTTTTTTTAAATTTCTAGATAATACCTCCATATTTAAACATTTTTATTGGACAATTTGGTAGCAATTTGAGTTCATTTATTTCTCAAATTATAGAAGATGTTCATTCTAACTTCTCAAACTAACTAGTAGTTTCCTTCTACAGCAACACCAAAAGAAAACAACCCTTTAAGTTCTCTCTTTTATGGCACTATATTTAGAAAATGCTTACATTGATGTCTTGTTTTCATCACAAGTGATATACATCATATCTTATTCGACAGATTGCTGGCTTATGCAGTTTTAGACGTCACCACATACGAAATTTATTAACACATATGTACTAAGTGTGTAGGGGTGTTGCCGAGACCGTTCTTTTTTTCCTGATGTGGCAAAATATTATTGGACAATTTGTGATCGTCCTTGCATGTATTTGTGCAAAAAAAAAAAAAATCCAAAATGCTGAGACCGTTGTCTTTGTAAATGAATGATACATTTATTGTCTTCATTTTGGTGGTATACGATTGGACCACTTTACCATTTCTGTTCCGCCTTTTCCCATCTGTATTGGGAAGTGATTGTCATCATTGCAATAACTCAGTTTAGTTGACTATCAGGACAAATGTATTCCAGTTTTGCCCTCCCATTATATTTTTCTTACCAGCCACAACGAATTGGTTTGCACTTGTCAAGAGGTCAATTTTTATTTACACTTGGGTCAAAACCATCATTCCTTCACTGTCGACGGCTATTGAAAGAAGGACTCTGGCAATTTCTTTTGTTCTGTCCAACCCACCGCAATTTCTTTGTTCTGCCCAAGCCACCGCTGCCGGTAAAGCTATGGATTGTTGCTGGGATTTTCTACTTATGCTAATGGTTAGTGATATCTTAAGTTTTTGCAGTCCTTTTTTGTATCATTCCTTTTTTGTTTTCTTCGGTTCTTACTTTCTCTTTTATTGCTCTATTCCTCCGAAGCTTCTTCTTCATTTTGCTCTCCTTCATAAAGATTGGTCAGGTAAGCTTTTCCTTTTACTGAACTATTCCTTCTATAATGCTGTTTATTCCGATATGTTTTTTGCTTGGTCATTCGTAGACTAACTCAGTCGTATTTACTTTGTTTATGGGTGTTTTGTATTTTGTCGTTGCGTTAAGGTAAGCCTATTTTTAATTTTGTGTGTTCTTTGATTCTTTTTTCTACCTTTTAATTGTCCATTATTTGTTCTTATTTATGTTTTGCGTTTTTCCTCTGTTTCCTCTTCACCTTTTGTATGCACCTTTCTTCGTCAGTGGTTGCTGTAAGGAACTTTCTTTCTTCGTCATCTTCTTTTATATCTGCAGCTTGTATTGTTTCACGTTAGCTGATCATTCTTTTTTTTTTTTTTTTTTTTTAGATTTTTGTTAGGGCTAAGTGGTGGAGGCAGTTTAGTACGGGATGGACATGGTCGATTCATCTTCGGGTACTCATGCTTCTTTGGCAATTTGACAAGCTTGGAGCAGGATGGGATGAATATTGTGATTACTAACGAACATCACATGCTACTGCTTCGACATATTGGGAATTTATTCTTTGATGTTATTAATTTTTGTGAATTGCAACAACAAGTTAATCTCAGCTGGACAGTCCCCCTAACAAACCTTCATCTTCAGCAAGATTGTATACATTCATAATACATCTTTATCCTTTTCATTTCATACTAATGTTTCAATCCTACATTATTTATTCCAACAAAAATATTTCTTATGTGCAGCTCGTGCCGATCTACCAATTCATGAAGAAATAGTGACATCTTCACTTCAACCTCATTTCTCACAAGACTCGTCCACTTCAGTATGCTTCTATCAAAGCTTTCACTCAGCCGACCCGTATACATTGGTAAAAAATCCTTATCGTATCTTCCCTTATCATATTTTCCTTAAAATTATTCCCTACCTAACTTATTTCCTTCAACTCAGCTCCCTAACTTTTACTTTTTGAATCAGAAAATCCCACGATTTGTTGACTACTTTCTCAATGAACAAAAAACTCCATTTATAGCTCTCAAAACTGGAGATAACATAACAGAAATTGGAATGAAAGGCAAGCGGCTAAAAAAAAATTGGAAAGCTTCCATTCTTCAACATCAACTCCAACACAATGACGTCCTTATTTTCATTCCAAAATCGAAGACCGTCTTTACTGTTTTAATATTTGACAGCAATGGAGATGAAAAAAATTTCCCTTGATACCCTGTATTTCATATCCATTACTATAATTAGCCAGTTTATTATTATAATTAGTCATTAACTTTTTGTATCTGTAACATTATTCATAAATTATGTTATCCTTATTTATTAATGCTTTGTGACTAATCAATAAACATGGTTTCATAGCTAAAAATACTAAAAAAAAAAAAAAGATAAAAATCAATTATAAATTAACCGTGTTAAGAAGGTATTCAATTGGTGATGGCATGCTTTCAAACGGGAAATTACCCAAAGCTAACCTACTCAAGATTGTGGTCTTATTCTACCTCCGTTCTCCACCGCCGTTCTCCACCGTTCGCATCTTTTCTTTTTAGTTCCACTTGGGAATAATAAAAAGAAGAAGTCCCTTCTGCAGGGGCAACTAGCTCTATTGGAAGAGTGACTTGAGAGAATATTCATTCGTTGGTAGTTGAAAAGGCAAACTCAAGTAATAACTTCATATATAACCGTCATTTAGTTTACCAAAAAATTTATTTATTCAAAAGCAAAAAATTTGCCGCAATATATTTTACCATTATCCAGCATTTCATATCCAATTTATCAAATCATCACCTTCTACCTTATAAATAAAAATTTAGATATAAATGAAATAAATATCAACAACTAACAAACCATTTCTACCGCTTTTCCATTTATAACTTTTAATGCTTGGACCATTCTAACACTTGTCAGCTATGATATACACCACTCTCCTACATTTACTCCTTTCTTGCTTTTACTTTTCATTATATGATTTCAGCTTATTTCACTTCCACACTCAACTCTCACCTTAATAATTTCATATTTATCCTAATCCAAACTCAACAACCTATACAGTTTACATGTTTCTTCTTCGGGGCATAATTGCATTGATCCACCGCGCGTAGCGCGGTCACACCCTCCTAGTAGCAAACTACGTACCAAAAAGTATTGAAGTTAGAATAAAAAAAAAAATTTTTTTAAATTTTTGTTTGGGTGCACATGACAAGGACTCAATACAATTATGTTTTATATGGTTCTGTTCAGTCGTTGTATATATTTAAATTTTTTGTGTATAAATACATCATAATATTATAGTAAATATTTTATTTATATCTATCTCAAATATAATTATATACCAAATAATATAAAAAAATATAATAACCAACGTGCTAGGTTTCAACCGCCCCTAAGACAACAGTATGGAAATCCAATGGGCTGAACCAGTATCCTCAGCTGACTCAAATATCAAGTTAACATCGGAAAGATCAAAATCAAGCACAATGCTACAGCGCCTATAGTTATGGTAACGATATTAGGAAAATCTACAATAGTAGGTTTCTATTACCTTTAGTGACAGATCAAATTTTTTAGCGACTTTTTAAATATTATATTAAACTAATTAATATTAACTTTAGTAACTTTTTAATTAAAACTAGTAAGTATATGCCTGAAAGATAAGTTTTAGTCAGAAATAGAAATTTACACTTTGAGTAATTTAACTTACTTATTATTTGACAAAATTTACTTTTGTTTAAATTAAACTTACTAATACTAAAAGTAAAAAATTTTCATATTTAAGTAAAAAATCACCTTATCACTTATCTCTGGAATTCTGAACCGTTTCAAATTTTAACAAAGAATTCTATCACAATCACAACACTTTTGAATTCAAAACAACAAAAAAGCCTATCTTTTTTTTATCAATACAATTATGTTTTGTATGGTTCTGTTCAGTTGTTGTATATATTTAAATTTTTTGTGCATAAATACATCATAATATTATATTAAATATTTTATTTATATCTATCTCAAATATAATAATAAAATATAATTATACACCAAATAATGTAAAAAATATAATAACCAACGTGGTAGGTTTCAACAGCCCCTACCACAACAGTACGGAAATCCACTGGGCTGAACCAGACTTTAGCCGAATGACAAAAAAGCAATGAATGGAGGAAGGTGCTTTTCTCTATCCAGTATCCTCAGCTGACTCAAATATCAAGTTAACATCGGAAAGATCAAAATCAAAACAAACAAGAAGTGATACAGGTGTCAGTTTCTACTCGGCCCTCCACTAGACACCTTACAAGTTACAACTAGCCTGTCCGGATTCGGGTTGAGATATAATTTCATTGTCCGGATCCAGATTATGCTCGTTTATTCTAATAAAGAAGTGGGTCGAATACGAAATATAGGATTTCAATCTGTATCTGATCTGGCTTCGTTTAAATAGATTAATAATTATAAAATATAGATACTTCTTAATACAATAATACTTCTTTTTCCAAATTACCAAACCCTAATATTCCATATAAAATGCATAATTTTGTCGAGTTTTATTTTTGTCAGATAGACCCGAGACCCCACTCGGGACCAGTCGGATCCGGTTCCAAGATTATAAGTATATGACTCGTTGAGTAGACGGTTCGAATCCAAAACGGGTAAATTATAACGGGTTCAAATTCGGAATGTTCAATTTCGATCCGGACTTAAACCGCCTACTTATAACTCACATTTTGGCGCTCGATTGTATTGATCACTCATCTCCTAACATTTCAGTTTTCTTTGATTGCAAGTGAGGTGTATGTTTGAGGAATATAGGTTTTTTTTTTCTATTTAGGCAATTATATTTTCTATCAATTGTATTCATTATGGCATTCGGGGAAAGATATAAAACTTGTGAACCTTTAGAAGAATTTGCAAATTTCACCTAGGGCCTGTTTGGGACCTGAGTTTTTTACCAAGTTTGTTAGTTACTAGTTTTTTAACAACTTTAACTTTCTCTCCCACCCCAATCCACTATATCTTCATCGTCGGCTACCACCTCAGCAGCTGCTTCCGGCGCCGGCCTTCCTTTTTTTTTTTTTGCCTTTCTCTCTCTCCCCCTCTCCTACCCTCCCCCTTTGACCGATCTGCGACCCCTCTCTTTTCTTTTTTCTTTTTTTTTTCTCTCTCTCCCCCTCTCCTTCCCTCCCCTCTCCCCCTCCCCTCCCCGGCCACCCTCCCCCTTCCCCTAGCTGCAATTTGGTCATGCGACCAGATCGCATCGGCGATTTGGTCACGCGACCAAAATGGGGGAGAGGGAGATGGAGAAGAGAGGGAGAGAAAAAGGAAAAAAAAAAACCATGGCTGCTGGTTCTCTGGCTTCGGGAGGGAGAGGGAGAGGGGGAGGGTGAAGGGGAGTAGAGGGGGAGAGGGGAGCAGAGAGGGAGAGGGACAAGAGGGGAAGAGAAAAAGGAAAAAAAAAATTTGGACCATGGCTGCTGGTTCTTCAACGCCAGAGGCAGAGGTGGCGGGGGAGGGAAGGGGGAGGGGGAAAGAAGAAGAACAAGAAGAGAGGAAAGAAAGAAAAAAAGAAAAGGAAAAAAAAGGTTTTCATCTTAAAAAATTTTTCCAAAAACTTCTACAGTGCATTACAGTAAAGTTTTAGACAAATTTCCAAAAAACTCAAGTGTCAAATGGGGCTCTATCGCTCTAGTTTGACAAGATATACAGGGAGTTCAAACGTCATCTAGTACATCACAAGGAAGCATAATGCTTCCTTGTTTTTAAAAAATCTCAGATAGTGCAATAGTGCACTTATCTAGTTTGGAATTTCATTCCCTAACCCCATATACAAGTTCCTTTGGACTCCTTTCCTCCATTGTGTAGAATCAATCCGCTTGCACTTGTCTAGTTTAGAGGATCACCTCCCAATCTCCGTACAAATCCCATTGGGCTCCTCTTCCCCATGGTGTAGGATTGGTGCAGGATTAGTGTAGAAGCAGTGTAGAATGTTACTGTTGTCCTAAAAAAAAAAAAAAGATATACTGTAAGGTAGAATTAAAACTGTCGGGCCGAAGTAGCAAAGTATGCTTAAAAATCTACTGCATATATTGATAAACCACTGCTAAAAGGACGCACATTAGGCCAGTTTATGATCTGGCCTAGTGAATCCATAATATTGGGTCATCTCTATGGATAGCCGCCTAAAAATGCAATACGTACTCGTTTCCATGCACAAACTTTTGTGGACTTACGAGGTACGGGCTGTAGTGCAAAATCAACACCTTTTTTGGGTTTTCTACCAAAGAAAAAAAAGAAAAAGAAGAAAAATGCCCGTTAGCTTTTACAATGCGCCTTAGATAATAGATAGTAGATGAAAAGTGAAAATTTCCAGTGGTAAAGAAACAACCCATGCGCTTATTAATTTTGCTCACAAGACAGTAATTCACAACAGCTAGAATTTCATCAGTTGTGTGGTTTTTATTGACTATTCGGTCATCTAAAACAATTTTTAAACATTTTCTCTTCAATGTTTCACCAGCTAGCAATTGTTAGAAAAGGGGAAAAAAATGGGGGTTTAAGACTGAAAAACAAAAGCTGTAAAACTCATCTTGCAACAATAGTTATATTTGTTAATTTTCTCTCCAAGTATGTGCTTCTATATGGATAAGACATGGACTTGCATATAAAGAAGGGGTAATTTTAGAAATAGCTGGACTTGGAAAAATATCACCTGCCTCCCTAATATTTAATTTTTTGTAACATTATCAGCTTACTTTAAAATATATTGTTGAAAAACTCATTCGCGGGTAGAGAATATATTTTCATTCCAATATTACCCTTTTCCAGTAAACCATTTTAGTTTCATAAGAAATCTAATTAGTCCCTTTACTTTTGAAATTAACTCTGTTGATATAATTTTTTAATTAGGAAGTACATGGGTTAACAAGGTTTAAAGATCTATTAATAATTTTTGTGTTGTTAGTCCACACAAGAAATATAGTGAAATTTTGGGATTCTAAATAATTTAGAAAATCCATAAAGTTATCTGAGAATTTTACAATGAAAAAAAATAACATTTTGCACTTTAAAAGCACCTCATATAAGTTTCTAAATATATATTTAAGAAATTATATTTTTCAAGCCATTGATCTAGGCAAACAATAGGAAATTCAAAAAACTTTTGCGTAATTTATAAACCTTTAAATTCATTCGCAAGCATCTTTTGAATTAAAAAATAAAATTTGCCATTGAAAAACCCTCAAATGATTATGTAATCATAAATA